GTTTTAGCTACAAGGTTGACCCTTACAGTCTCCTTTCCGGTGATTATGTGGTGCACAAGAAAGTTGGGATTGGGCGTTTTGTTGGGATAAAGTTTGATGTCCCCAAGGATTCTTCAGAGCCCCTCGAATATGTCTTTATTGAGTATGCAGACGGCATGGCCAAACTTCCCCTCAAGCAGGCCTCGCGTCTGCTCTACCGATACAACCTGTACGTTTTCTCTTGCAAGTTGCAACTTTTTCTTGGCTTCCTTATGAAATGTCTTTGTTTGGTGTCTTCCTCATTGGCGTCCCTGTCTTTGTCTCTTCTATACTCTTTTGTGTTCCAGCCCAAATGAGACCAAACGGCCCCGGACTTTGAGTCGGCTGAGTGACACTAGTGTTTGGGAAAGAAGAAAGACCAAAGGAAAAGTCGCAATTCAGAAAATGGTCGTTGACTTGATGGAGCTATATCTTCATAGGCTTAGACAGAAGAGATTTCCCTATCCAAAAAACCCCATCATGGCTGATTTTGCGGCTCAATTTCCTTATAATGCTACACCTGACCAGAAGCAGGTGTTGTTGCTATCTCTTAGTTTTCATTATTCATATTCCTTCACTGAAACATGAGTTCGCCTTGCAGGCTTTCCTTGATGTTGAAAAGGATTTGACAGAGAGAGAAACACCAATGGACCGTTTGATCTGTGGAGACGTTGGGTTTGGTAAAACAGAGGTTGCTCTACGGGCCATCTTTTGTGTGGTCTCAGCTGGAAAACAAGCTATGGTTTTAGCACCGACAATTGTATTGGCGAAGCAACATTACGATGTAATCTCAGAGCGATTTTCCTTGTATCCACAAATCAAAGTCGGCCTTTTAAGTCGATTTCAGGTATTCAGAACACTGTTTCTGATGATAATTTCTTCTATGAAATTGCCCATATGCAAACAGATAAATGCTATACAGTCCAACGCACAACACTCAAATGTGTTTTAGACATTATTGGTTGTGGGTTACATAGAAATCCTCTGCTGTCTGCTTAAGTAGTTCATAATTTTACAAAGAATTGACCACAGTCATATCATTGACATCGTGCAGACCAGAGCAGAGAAGGAGGAGTATTTGGAAATGATTAAAAATGGGCATCTCAATATCATTGTGGGTACTCACTCACTTCTTGGAAGTCGTGTTGTGTACAGTAATCTAGGCCTCCTTGTGGTCGATGAAGAACAGGTTATGTTCTAATTCGTTTAAAGTTAGTTGTTTTTGCCATGGTCTCTGAATGATTCTTGGATTAGTTGATGAAAATCTCTCTTTTACTGTACAGAGATTTGGTGTCAAGCAGAAAGAAAAAATTGCATCTTTCAAAACATCAGTGGACGTGCTTACCCTATCCGCAACGCCCATTCCAAGGACACTCTACTTAGCTTTGACTGGATTCCGGGATGCCAGGTTGCGACAGGATGTGTATTTGATAATATGCTCACTGATAGAGTTTGAAGAGACTAATGAGCCTTTGTTTCCCCTTGTTTTTAGTTTAATCTCCACTCCACCCCCAGAGAGGATTCCAATAAAAACCCATCTTTCATCATTTCGTAAGAAAAAGGTGATAGAAGCAATAAAAAATGAGCTGGATCGTAGTGGCCAAGTTTTCTATGTCTTGCCTAGGATTAAAGGTAGAATGCATTATTAGCTTTGTCTTTCTCTACGTTATCTCTTAATATGACTACCTTTGCTCTTGGTCGTAACTTAGAGACAAAGTGGAACCAGAAACTTCTTGACCATGGGATTTTTTTTCCTATTGTCAACTTTATATTTTTCCATTATCGGTTTGCCACTTTGTTCTTCGTTATTAGGACTAGAGGAAGTGATGGATTTTCTTGAAGAAGCATTTCCAGATATTGACATTGCTATGGCACATGGAAAGGTATGTTATGGCATTTCTTAGCAGTAATAAACATTTGGATGCTCATTTATAAGATATAGTATAAATTATGGAATCTTCCTAAGCAATGCTGTTGCGCTATCGTTGATTATCTTGCTACACATGATGTATTCACAGCAATACTCGAAACAACTAGAAGAAACCATGGAGAGATTTGCACAAGGAAAGATCAAAATCCTCATATGCACTAATATTGTTGAAAGCGGACTTGATATTCAAAATGCAAATACCATAATCATTCAGGATGTTCAACAATTTGGGCTCGCTCAGTTGTACCAGGTGCCAAAGTTACTTGTTTGCTTTCTTTTTGCGTCATTGCTATTGTAGTTCGCCCTGGCAAAAAAGGTGAGTAGTTTCTGAGATATCTTCCTCTTGTTTCTGTCAACAGTTGCGTGGAAGAGTTGGCCGGGCTGATAAAGAAGCTCATGCCTATCTGTTTTATCCTGATAAATCGCTGCTCTCTGATCAAGCACTGGTACAGGGGGTCACTTTTTTCTTTCTATTCCCTTGGCAAACTTTGGCATGTGATGTTATATGCTATAACTATGCAGGAAAGGCTTAGTGCTCTTGAAGAGTGCCGTGAACTTGGACAAGGTTTCCAACTTGCGGAGAGAGATATGGGTATAAGAGGTTTTGGGACAATCTTTGGTGAACAACAGACAGGGGATGTTGGAAACGTTGGCATCGATCTCTTCTTTGAAATGCTTTTTGAGAGTTTGTCCAAGGTATTCTATGATTTAAGTCTCCTTCTACATTCTCTCTGATTATGACATTGATGAGCTTTTTGTTTTGCCTTTTCAAACTTGGGATTGGTTATTGACTCGTGAGTCAACCTTTTTGGTTGTTTCTAGGTGGAGGAACTCCGGATTTTTTCGGTTCCATACAACCTGGTTAAGGTATTTTCCATTTTCAATAGTAAAAGATGTTTATTTAAAAGATCATAATGTTTACAAGTGTATTTTGAAGGCTGGATATGATAGTTATTAGGCCTGTTGCTTGTGCAAGAGTCAATTAACGCTGTTCTTTATGCTCTTTATTCCAGATTGACATAAATATAAATCCTCGGCTTCCCTCGGAGTATGTAAATTACCTGGAAAATCCGATGGAGATCATCAATGAAGCTGAAAAAGCAGCTGAGAAAGACATGTGGAGTCTAATGCAATTCACAGAGAACCTGCGTCGCCAGTACGGGAAAGAACCCTACTCCATGGAGATTATCTTAAAGAAGCTGTATGTGAGGCGCATGGCGGCTGATCTTGGAGTAAACAGAATTTATGCATCAGGCAAGATGGTTGTCATGAAAACAAATATGAGTAAGAAGGTGTTCAAGCTGATCACAGATTCCATGACTTGTGACGTTTACCGAAGCTCCTTGATATATGAAGGAGATCAAATAATGGTACTCTATGAGCTTGTTTGCATGAATTTGCATAGTCTATTTCATGCCACGCTTAAAGACGAACTTAGGGGCTTTAACGATATGTGCAGGCGGAACTTCTGTTGGAGCTACCAAGAGAACAGTTACTGAACTGGATATTCCAGTGCTTGTCAGAGCTCCATGCATCACTTCCTGCTCTTATCAAATATTAGTTCCTCCTCCACAGTTTCTCTTGCGTGTGGGATGTGTTAGAAGAAGAGGGACGCCTCAGCAGTTGTGTTGCTGTGGAGTTTCGTCATAGAAGAATAATATTTGCATAAATATCTACAAGGGCAACAATTTAATCAGGTATGTAAGTCTCAATGTGATTGCATCAACTTTTAAGTTTCAACAATGGTTAATCCTTTCTTTCTTCTCCTGTTCCGAGCAGCTACTCACACTCGAATATTAAGGATCGTCCTTTGTACCCCGTTTCAAATTCTCTACAAGCAATAGGAGGAGGAATGACTGTGGACGACGAGATCATCAACCAATTATGAGTTGGTAAAGTTTTGGAAATCTGTTGTATATTTGTAAGACCCGGGATATTTTACCGGCAAAACTAAACTTGACCAATTGGTTTATATGTAGAATAGATTTCTTCTCTAATATAGAAAGATTGTAATTCCAGTTGAACCCTCCCAAGGTGAACTTTGGTGTCTATCAATACTCCCTTCCCTGACATGTGTAAAAATCGGTCTCCCCTCCTAGTGCCAAAGACTTGCACCTTTTATTCGGACTCTTTGACTTTGCTAAGTTTCAGATGTGACTTTATGGGTTATATAAAATTGACTAATGGATAGGGCAAAAGAAGGCTGTCTGGAGTTTGGTTTGGTTGGTGGAAAAAAAAAAGCCCCAAATTTGTTTCTCTTCCTTTGAAGCCGTCAACGATCGTCGTCGACTTGCTTCTCTTCCTGCCGGTCTCCACCGCACCGCACCGCAAGGTATCTTCAACTCTTCCTTATCCTTTCCATCTGTTTTAGATCCGATGGCCATTGATAATTGGCTCATTCCCAGATCCAATCCACTCGTGCATTTCCTCTCGTCTGTAACCAAAATTTGGTCTTCCACTTTGCTTTCCGTTTCCTTTTCCGATCATCTTCTCTTCAATCTATTTTTCCCTACGAGCAACACATATTTCAGTTTGTTCATAACTCGAATTCCTTTCTAATGTGTTCCAACTTCCTCCTACAAGAGTTTCAGCAATAACTACCTGGTACGATTACATGGGAGAATCTTCTAGTTCAACCTCTTGGAGCAGTCATAAGGATACAGACGATGATCGGATGATTGCTCTCATGTTATCTGAAGAGTACACTAAACTAGACGGTGCAGTTGGCAGACGCCTCTCCAATCTTGCTCCAGTGCCTGTCAGTTTGGTCTTGTCCCTTCATATACGGAATTAAACCTTTCTACATGCTTAGCTCTCTGTATCTCTATATTATATGTATGTTCTTGGTTTGCAGCATGTTCCACGAATAAATTCTTATATTCCCAACCTAAATGATGCCACTTTGGATCACCAACGTCTTCTTCAAAGGTATTTCTCATGCTCCCTTCTTCCTCTTTGAAGCATGTTCTAGGATGCTTTCTTTCAGATTTATCTCAAATTGTTAATTCTTTTGTCTTTCCAGGCTAAATGTTTATGGTTTGTGTGAGTTTAAGGTCTCTGGTGATGGAAACTGCCAGGTGAATGGAGGCTAGATTTCAAACAATCTTCTTCATCTCATTCTTTTCTTTCTCTCTTTCCCTTCTCGGGTACTCATATCTTATTGAGAAATTTGAGTGTCTTTTCAGTTTCGAGCACTTTCTGACCAGTTGTACCGATCTTCAGAGTACCACAAGCAAGTTAGGGGAGAAGTTGTTAAACAGGTGAGATGTCTTGTGAGTTATGAGCAATGAACAAAGGCATTGACCTTCTATTAAACGAATGTTGCCGCTGGTTAAATTATTTTGCAAGATTGATATATAGGTGCACACACCCCTTTTCGTATCTCATTTCCTAATTGTTCTCTTGTTGTAGCTCAAGGACAATCGCTCTATGTATGAAAGTTATGTTCCGATGAAATACAAACGATATTACAAGAGGATGGCAAAGTATGTTGTGTAAACATACTCATTTCTCATTAGTCTTCTTAGCTATATTTTGTTTGATCTATAATGTTTTCTGTTTCACACTCAAAAAATTAAATAAATGGAAGACTAGGAGAATGGGGAGACCACGTTACCCTACAAGCTGCGGCAGATAGGGTAAGTTTCCATTTTGTCTTAATATGCAAAGCACTCGAAATACTACTTAAGATGTACCTAAATAATGATATTTATTTTGTTCTCATATCACCTCTAATGCTCAAAGAAGTGTTTTCCTATCTAGTCTTCTTCATATCTTTTATTTTTTCTCTTTTCATTTGGATGTACATGAAATACGCCCTAGAGCCACGTAAAGTAACCACACATACATTACAAACTTTTTTGGCTTTAGGCACAAAGACGAGTAATTTTGAGTAGTTTTCCTTTCTTTTTTCTTACAATGTTTCCATTGTATCTCCTTTTCAACAGTTTGCAGCAAAGATTTGCCTTCTGACATCCTTCAGAGACACTTGTTTCATTGAAATTATGCCTCAATACCAAGCACCTAAGCGTGGTGAGACTCAGGAGAATTATAGTACCTTTACTTATCGCTACTTGATATGAAGTAACATATGACGAATGCAGTCTTACAAATTTGTGGTTTTATATGTTTGGAATGGTGCAGAGTTATGGTTAAGCTTCTGGTCAGAGGTGCATTATAACTCTTTATACGATATTCAAGGTTTGTTTTGTGCTTAGGAAATGTAACAAAATGGTGGCTGTGCTTGAGGACACTGACTATGATCTTCCTTTATGAGTGCAGCTGCTCCAGTTCAGCCGAAGCCAAAGAGAAAACATTGGTTGTTCTAGAAGACGGCCACTTACACGTCTCAGAATAACATCTTTATAATATTTTTCTATCAGTTTTGTGCATAATTCAACATTTACATACGTCGTAACACTTCCTACACACTTGTGTATACACACGAACGAGCTTGAGCTGTAACATTCTCAAATCGATTGTGATAATTTTAATATCTCAGGCAAATTTATATGCCTAAAACTCTCCCCGAGAGATTTTATTACCGGCAAATAGTCGAAACCATTTAGTTTCCAATTCGGATATGATTCATTCATATTTTAGTAATGACGTTAAAACATATTAGTATTTTGAAAATTATAGACTAACTCCTTTGAGTTTTAGAAACTTTTGAAAATAATAGTAAACTTTTGATTTTATGAGATTTAGTTGCTTGTTAATGACTTACGACGCCATTTGTTTCTAGTTTATTGAAAACATCCAAAGCTCAAAGGTGTAAACTCATGAGATTCTTATAAAATTCTATAAGTTTGAGTTTATTGTTAGAAACAAGAACAATCCTTTCTGGTTATATTAAAAACAAGATTGGTGGATACATTTACATAGCAAAGATTCCTTTATCCAATTGATTTTCATATTTAATCGGATTTAACGTCTTTTACCGTAAATATTTAAGTTTGTGTGGTTTACTATTTGTTTCATGCTATTTTAGTCATTGCATCTTATATTTTTAAGTTGATATTGGATCCAGATAGTGTTGTTATGAGATTTAGTTGCTTGTTAATGTCCTACTAGGCCATTTGTTTATAATTTATTGAAAACATCGAAATCTCATAGGTGTAAAACCCATAGATTCTTATTAAATTTCAAAAGTTTGAGTTTATTGTTGAGAACATAAACAAACCTTCCCGATTATATTAAAAACATGATTAGTGAATACATTTACATAGCGAGGATTTTTTATCCATGTAATTTTCATTTTCAATCGGATTTAACATCTTTTAACGTAAAACTTCGAGTTTGTGTGGTTTACTATTTGTTTTATGCTATTATAGTGGTTGCATTTTATATTTTAAAGTTCATATTGGATCCACATAGTGTTGTTAGTGAGATTAGTTGCTTGTTAATCACTAAAGTCAATATCATTCTAGTAAAAATCGGTGAATAAGGAACATTTCTTCACAAACAAGATTTAGAATTGCAATTTCTAAGACATGTTTCATACTAAACTGATCAAAGAGAGTTACTAATCTCACCAATATATCAAGTTTTCCGAATTGGATTTTCACAGACTTAGCAAGAGAAGTGATACTATTAGGATCCGACACATCAAGCTGATAAAAGAAGCCAAAACACATCAAAACTAAACTATTTAAACAACTTGGAAAGGTAAATGAGAACTCTAAAGAAGCTAAAATTAAAAAAAAAAGAAATTTGTCCAAAATTTAAAGGTGTTAGTCCACGAATTCGTTTTGATGTTGTTACCGGAAATGGATACAAATTAGAATCTAAACTATTTATACCACTTGGTAAAGTAAATAAGTTCCTAAAGAAGCCAAAATTTAAAAATATTAATATTTTGGAAAATTATCCAAAACTCAGAAGTGTTTGTCCACAAATTATTAAAAACTAAAGAAATCTCACTTTGATAAAAAAAGGAATGAAGTTAAAACTAATTTAGTTGTGTTATAATTGTTTATCTACTTAGTAGACAAGCGCCATCATCATTAGCTTGACACATGAGTGCCACTAATGAAGCTTTACCCATGAACAAGTGTTCTAATGTGCTACTAATAAAGTTTCCCATGTACAAGTGTCTTTTGTTTCTGTAATCTTCTTCTATATATATGTGAAGG